TCCAGCCTGGCCTTAAACACTGCCAGGGATGGGGCAGCCACAGCTTCTCCGGGCAACCTGTGCCAGGGCCTCACCACTCTCACAGGGAAAAATTTTTTCCTAATGTCGAATCTGAATCTCCTCTCTTTCAGTTTAAATCCATTCCCTGCTGTCCCATCACTACATGCCCTTGTAAAATGTCCTTCTCCAGCTTTCTTATAGGCCCCTTCAGGTACTGGAAGGCTGCTGTAAAACCCCCTGAGTCTTCTCCAGGCTGAACAACCCCAGCTGTCTCAGCCTGTCTTCATAGGAGAGGTGTTCCAGCCCTTTGAGCATCTTTGTGGCCTCCTCTGGACTCACTCGAGCAGGTCCACATTCCTCTTCTGTTAGGGGCCCCAGAACTGTACACAATACTCCAAGTGAAGTCTCATGAGAGCAGAGTAGAGGGGCAGGATCACCTCCTTCGGCCTGCTGGTCACGCTTCTTTTGATGCAGCCCAGGATACAGCTGGCTCTGTGGGCTGCAAGTGCGCACTGCTGGGTCACATTGAGCTTCTCATCAACTAACACCCCTATATCCCCCTCCTCAGGGCTGTTCCCAATCCATTCTCTGCCCAACCTGTATTTGTGCTTGGGATTGCCCTGACCCAGGTGCAGGACCTTGCACTTGGCCTTATTGAACTTGAGGTTCACACAGGCCCACCTCTCAGGCATGTCAGGGTTCCTGTGGTCGGCATCCCTTCACATTTTCAAACGTGTTTCTAGCTTGTTTGCTGTCTTGCTACCTTTTTACAGGGTTTAGGTGGATTTACAACATTATTATTTAGCATCAGATGTGTTTGTTACAAAAATAATTGGTAAAAATGTCATTGTTACTGGCTTAGCACGTTCTACACTTAAACATCTGATAGGCACAAATCGGGTATTAATCTAGCCACAAGGAGTCTTACAGGAATTTAAAGAATAAATGAGTTTGGGGCAAGCCAATTTTGGAAATAAATAAAAAAGAACGGGCTTTGTATTTTGTAGTGTACTGTGATTTAACACGTACCTACTGTTTTATACTTAATTTTAAGAAGAAAGAAGTGGATGTTCCTGTGGGAGTCCATAAACATCAGAAAGAATTCTTTCAGGCTTCAGCATGTCCTTGAATAGCCTCTTGCATTGAATGTGTAGAGTCCAATACAAGCAAAAAAGAAGTTGCCTCAGATTTTGGCAAATGAGGAAGAGGAAAAACAAAGTTGTAACCACAATGAGGAAGCTTGATGCTGCTGCAACATGATTTTGCTGGATTTGAGCTACCATAAAATAACAGTGTAAAGCCAGGAAAATGTAATGTGATTCAGCACATGGGTATCTGGGCAACAGCCTGAACTTGTCTATTATCACTGGAGCAAAGAAACTCTATCTCAGTAAGAAATGAGGTGGATCTGTCTGCCTTTCCATAGCCTCTATATTCCAAGCTGACACTGAAACATCCTTCTCTCCTGTTTTTTGTAGGGGGCTTTTTCTCCACCATCTTTTCCAGTCTGTTTGGAACTCGAGAGATGAGGATTCTCATCCTGGGACTGGACGGAGCAGGAAAAACAACCATTCTCTACAGGTTACAAGTCGGAGAAGTTGTTACCACCATTCCAAGTAAGTGAAAACAGCCAGTTTGCCTGTAGCTCTAACATATAAGCTTTGTCAGCTGAACCTGCTGCATGCTTCCTTCAGAAAGAGAAGAACCTTATGCTGTGAGAGCCTTGCACTGGTGTATTTAACAACTTTTTTGCACAACAGTATTACAGTGTGCTATAGAAGTGCTGGATAAAGGGGTATTTTATGCTGCCCTGATTTGACCTTAAGATTGTTGCTGTGGTTTGGAAGGTACATGTTCAGTAAATGCTAACTGTTGACTGGGTAAGTCTTTTGTCTCCAAATAGAGCTCCAGTGATAATTCTAGAGATCATTATTGTGCATAGGATGGTGTCAGTGAATTGTACCTATTTAGTTTCTTGGTTTTTTGACAAGGGTCTGAAGTGTAACAAAACGCAGATGGTGCTTGCTTAAAAAACTAACTGATTTCCCCAGTTGCCACAGCTTTCATACAGCTGTAACAAACATCCAGGTGTGTGTGCAAAAGTGCTTTGCACTTTTGTCTGAGTAACTTCAAGTCTGAGTAACTTCAAAGGCAAGAGACACTTGGCTTTTGAGTCCCTGTCATGTCTCTTGGGTTCCTTCTGAATGGCCACGATAAATTTACGTTTGTCAGGTCTTTTTTACCTGTTAGAAGCCAGCAGTTTACTGTGTCAGAATCCTTTTGCCCTAGGGTTTTGCTTATTTCAGCCTCCATGAATGTTAGGCTCTGCATCCATCGTTAACTTCCCTATGCTGGGTTTCACTGGGCTGGCAGGAAGAAGGATCACATACGTGATGTGCTGTAACAGTACTGCCATCTTCCAGGTACCACAGTGTCAAGTCTTTTTCCGAGAAGTTACTTCTGCTGTGGTCTTACGAGGTGTTGACACGAAGGACACATTTCTTAGTGGTTTATTGCTGTTGGTTGTGTACTTGGTTATCAAAACAGGCTGTTCCTTCAACACTTGCTGTGTTAACACTTGCTCTGTTTCTTTTGGTGATTTCAGGCACACTTCTGCTCATTTTTTAACAACCTTAGCATTTGTTAAAAATCTCTACAATGTGTTGTTATTGTTCAAAGGAACAATTATTTTGAGCCATAGATGTTTGTTGGGGTAACTTTGCAAAGGGCATTAACTTCATTATGGAGCTGCTGAGAATTCTCAGGCCTGAAAACTGTAAACTGAGTGCTGTAACATTCTTCAGAGACATAAAGAAAAATCACCGACTGTGAAACTGTTTAACTTTGTTTCAGCCATTGGCTTCAATGTTGAGACAGTGACATACAAGAATCTGAAATTTCAAGTCTGGGACTTGGGAGGACAGACAAGCATAAGGTAAAAGATTTCTTGAAATCAAAAGCTTAATTATGTCTCAGAAGTATAAAGTTCTTGGAATTCTCATAGCTGGCACGTCTGGAAATTGGTTCTTTTTAAAAAACATCCCATTGTCAGGAGAGCATTTTCATCTGACAGAATTCACCCAGTGAAACCTGGTTTGGACTACAGGTTGGAAAGGAATGAGTGAACGTTTTCACTTATATAGTTTTGCTTTGAACTACTTGTGTAGTTGGCAATTGTGTAGCATTCTAAGAGGGAAATGAGTGATGCAAACCCCAAGAGATATTTCAGTGTTCTTAGTGCAAAGCAAGGAAGTTGAATTCAGGTACAGACAGTAACATTTTTAGCGAGCTTTACAAGTTTTGCAATGAGTTTTTATATGCATAATTGTAGTGAGCTCTTCAGCACCCTGGTATGACCTTTTCATGAATGCTTTCTGAGCACTAGGTAGTGAGGTGCAGCACAGTTAGTAAGTAACATGCAGGTTCCTTCCCTTTTTAGTTTCAGTAAGATAATTCTGAAGAAGGTGGTTTGTTTTGTTCCTTGTTAATTATTTGCCTGTGGGAATTAGTCACTTCAGATTTCTGTGTCCCTTAGTTATGGACCTGATGTCCTGCAGGCTGATTCCCAAATAAATCTGTCCCCAGCACTTCTTTCCCTGGTTTCAAACTCCCCTTTTTTTTTAACCACATCTCCTCCCTTCCCGGCCCTGAGAGCATTTGTTCTGTCTGTTCCTTTTTGTAGCCTCTTGAAGATACCTTCTATGTGCTTCCTTTCACCCAGAGACAGTTTTTACTTCCTCTGAGTAATCTGGTTTTCATCATCTGGCTAAAAATTGCTGCTAGAAGTGCAAATTACATGACTGGGACTTACCTTTCTTCTGCAGGCCATACTGGCGGTGTTACTATTCAAATACAGATGCAGTCATCTATGTAGTAGACAGCTGTGATCGAGACAGAATTGGCACTTCAAAGTCAGAGCTTGTTGCTATGTTAGAGGTAAGAAAACAAGCACTGAAACAGAAATTGAGAAACTAAACCTTTGTTTGCAGCAAATGTGAAATTTTATATAGTGAATTGAGTGAAACTGACCTTCACTTGCGAAACTTCAGCCCTCAGCACAGGCCTGTGCAACACTTGCAACTGAAAAGCACTAAACATGCTGCAGCCATTTCACAGTTCTGTGCAGCAGTGCCTGGGCAGTAGTTAGTTCCATGTAGCCTTTTGGTCATGCAAAAATGTATTTGTCTGCAGGGACAGCTGCTCAGTACCACAGTGGTGGCAAAATTCAGGCCCTGAAGGATTAACAGTAATTAGTATCCTACTATGTTTTGAAGCTGAAGAACAGATGTAGAACAGGTGATGTGAGCAAGAAAACGACTTGAGCAAAATGTTATTATTTATTACCCCCCTTTCCAATTCGTGCAAGTTCTTTGATACACCCTGTTAAATCCAACTACCAGGTTGTTTCATAAGGTATAAGGCATAACCAGCCATATTTTGAAATTGATCCCATGTGGTGTCATGCTGGAATTGAAAGGAAATACTGTTCTTCCACTGAAGAATTTTCTGAAGAACAAAAATCAGCAAACTGAAAATCAGTGAGAGCTGCTGAAGTTTCTTTTCATTCTATGGGGTTTTGATGCTTAAATAAATTGAGTAAAAGTCTCTGCAACAATTTGCATGATTCCCTTTTTAGGAAGAAGAGCTGAAGAAAGCCATTTTGGTGGTGTTTGCAAATAAGCAGGACATGGAGCAGGCCATGACTCCCACAGAAATGGCAAATGCGCTTGGCTTACCAGCTCTGAAGGACCGAAAATGGCAGATATTCAAAACCTCTGCAACTAAAGGCACGGGGCTTGATGAAGCAATGGAATGGTGAGTAACAGCCTAACTAACTATGCTTCATTATAAAAATGTCTTTTACTGTATTTATTAAGACCTGTATGTGTGGAAAGCATGCCTGACATAAGACGGGGGTCCGCAGCGGAAGAAAGAGAAGCTTTCTCCTAAAAGTATTTCAGCATAATTGAAATGACCTTTCAGTAAACTGCTGTAACCTTTTTCCTAGGTTGGTGGAGGCCTTGAAGAGCAGGCAGTGATACACAGTGACCATTGCAGAGCAGTTTCAGCTATATCCATCATCTTTCTGTAGTTGGGTATTTTCAGGCCACAAAAATTTGTAAATAGGACAGATGTGAGTTTGACTCCTGTAATGTGGATGGTTCTCTTGAATTGTAAAACTGAACCAAGTGAATGTCTGTGTACATTATGATACTCCATTTCTTTCTTTCTTTGTTTAAAGGATGTACGTATGTTAATTTGTATCAAACTCCTACTGGCTGGTAAGTTTTTTTGGCACCCCTTTAGTGGTTTTGAGTGGCTACTGTATTTGTGTAATTAAAACACTAATAAAATCTGGAACTGTCACGTGTACTCATAGGTATGTTGCTTGCTCAAGGCTGCTTGCTTACAGGAACAAGTCCAACGGCTGCCAGTTCAAGCAGCCACATAGCTGAACACTTAAAACTATTTCCTTAAGCTGATGTTGTACTTCAGCATCCTTCAGTGCAGATACCCTGTGAGAGTGATGTGCAGTGACAGAGATAAGAGTGTACCTCCAGCTGTTAGCGTACCATTGGTTTTCTGAAGAGAAAATAAACGTCTTCAGTCACCACGTACTGCCCTGACGTGCCAGGGCCATAATTTGAATTTAACTTCCACCCTCAGGAACTGTTATTCCTGTACTCTCAGCTTAGCCAGAAATGACAGTTAAGTCAAGTCGCTCGGTACAGCTGCAGAAACTGGAAGACAAATCAGTGTCAGGATATTTATAGGCATGAACAGAGTCATCACATCAACCCAGCTCTTAAAAAGGAAGTCAAATTTAATATAAAAGATCATGGTGGTTGTCCATTCAACTGTACATAAATATACAGACTTGGAAAAAATTGAAAAGCTTTTACTTGAGATCCTAGATGAAAAGAGGACATGGAAAAATACTAATAAATACAATTAAAATATGGAAATACTTTTTTTTAACTGTAATTAGTTTCTTTAGCTTGAAATCACTTTATAAATTAATCCTTCAGGAAGAAAAAGCCTTTTCATTCCACCATTGCTAAATCTTTCAGTGCATGACTTCGAGTTCTCTTGGCCTTGTAGGTCGGGCGCAGGGATTCTATTTTTCTTTTCCGGGTTTCTGCTTTATTCTTATGTCTCTTCAGCTTCCGCCGTGCAGCGATGTCAGGGTTTGCTACAGTCTAGTGAGAAACAGCTCATTGGTTACTTCTAACTGAACAAGCAACTGTCCTGGTAGACAGCAGGTACTTCCTAAGAAACTACTAACTGCCAAGGCAGTACATGGGTTTTCTTAAGGCTTTGTAAAACTGAGGCTGTTGTGGCAGTTCTGCCCAAGTTTACCACTGCTTTTTAGAAAAGCGGGAAAGCGCAGCACTGTCATCAGCCAGAACCTGCCCAGGAGGCTGCTCTTATAAGAGTTTCTTACGAAGTTTCAGAAATGAAACAACGAAACTCCCAGTTCAGGACGACGTTCTTCCCCAAACTCACCTTCCTGGTCAGCTCTCAAACCTTCAAAGAAGCCCTATTGCATTTTCCTAGAAGATAAAGTGGAATCTTACCTGCAAAGCCCTCTGCTTTTTCCTCATGGCTCTTTTCTGGTTGGCCTGTTTCTGCACAGAAGAAAAGGCAAGTGAAAAAGCCTCCAGTCCGACCAACTTCTTGAGTAGTTCTATGATTTCTTGGGAAAGGTTCTTCAGTGTTGGATCTAATAAAACAAAATTAACTTCCTTAATCTTTTCAGCAATATGGAATGAAAGCCAAAGAGTAAGGATTCCTCTTTACTAAAGGATGACTGTACTGATTCATCTAGCCCCATAGACTGTAGAGATTAGAGCAAAGGCACTTGTGAAATCTGCTGGTTCTTCACCAGCTTTCCTGAGGACCACAAGTGGCACTTCACACAGGGAAGATGTGTGCTTGAAATAATGCTTCTGAGAAGCAAAAAAGTGTAGCTTTTTTTTCAGAAGGATAATGGTATTGCAGAGGTTATTAGAAGTGGTTTGCTGTATGTAGCCACCAGGGCTCTTGGAATAGGCTTTGTTAGAAATAGAGGTGGTTCCAGCCTTGTCAGTCAGCATCTCGGTCCAGTAAGTACAGTAAGGTCTGGTAATGGCTCGGATCACTAGTTGGTTAGAATGTATTAACTGCAATCACTGAGAAAAAAAAAAAAAAACATTGGGGAAGAAGGCTACAGAGATAGATACTAAGGGAAAACAGAGCAGGGCAAATGCCTCAGTCTTCCAACAGATCCCTCTTCCAAGTGCTTGTACAGCCTCCAGAGAAGCTTGTGTAAGGTGCCTGCCTGCACATCCTTCAGCGATGTGTTCCCTGGGCCTACACCCCCATCATGTGATAAAACATCTCTGCAGTTATTCTGAAAAATCATTGGGAGGGCCCTGGTCCTTCTGCTGGCAGAGAAAGCAAAAAGGTGATCTTGATCCACTCACGATACTGTCAGTCTCCACTCTACCTCTTCCAAGTCTCTCTGCTTAGAGAACAAGTGGTAGCCATGGCAGCTGTTTTTAAGTACTTTTCTATCCCTTTTGAGAAGTTTGGACTCAGTGCTGCACACTGGATTTTGATGGCACATAGAAACCACAGATTTAGACTTACATAACTCTTTGTTTGGTTTGTTTGTTCTTTTCCTGACATTGGATTTTGCTTGACTTAACACATCTTCATGAACTGTCTAAACACCAGTGTCTTTCTTAAGGCAAGAGTCTCCTCTGTTAAACAGGAACTTGGTTTGTTTTTCCCCTGCCAGGTGTGATTCTGATCTTTTTAACAAACACAGCTCTCCAGGGAGAAGCAAATGTTGTTGCTCAGGTAGTATCTAGCAGGAGAGAGTGACCTGGACTCATTCGGGAGGAAGGGAGATGTTCTGTACGCCTGCCTGCACACACCATGTGCTGTATTCCCGTGGCACACAGCTCTCTTTCTTTCCCTGCTTGCAGAGGTCACTCTCTTTCAGTCACTGCACACATGCCACACGCTGAAGGTCGTTTTCTCTATGCCAAAAGGGGGAGCTTGAGGAAAACATCAAGCAACCACCACCAACCTGCAATTCCAGCTTGTACAGTCCTTGGCACTACAGTAAACCAAGCTGCCATAAAACAGACCCTGTTTTACATTACAGCTGAAGTATGCTTCTAGCCACAGGGCATGGATCTTCACGCCCTAAGCCTCACAGCACATCTAACAAGGCAATTCAAAAAATGACACTTGGCAACAGCCTTGTTCTGGCTTCCTTAAGAGCCACACTCTGTTCCTCTCATCAGCAAGGACTCCATGAGTCTTGCCACCATGAGTCCACTCTCGATTACTACACTTTTTCCACTACGTAACATGCCCAAGATGTATCCGCTTGCATGGCGGAGTCTGCGTAACCTTCTTCCAGGCTTTGTCAACACATTTTTTTGTTTCAGCTGTCACACGCTCCTCCTTTTCCTCATGTTTTGGTTAGTCTGCAGGTAGGTGAAGTTCACTGATGATGGTATCTGTGCCTCAACAGACAAAAGGAATGAGGGGTGGTGTTCGTGCCAATGCACAGCTTTGACATGCTTTTCTCTTCACTAGTCTTCGTGAGGGAAATCACTTACCTTGCTCTGCATAGGTGCTGTTCAGCTCCCGGTACAGAGGGGTCAGAATTGTTGGAAGGTAGGGCTTGATCCTGTCTTTTCCAAGATCGACCGAGATTGCTCCCAGGAACTTAAAGATGCAGCTTCTCTGAAAAGGAGTGTGTGGGATATTAAGGAAGGTTGGAAGGAAACTGCTTAACTGAACTGCTAGAAGAGAGCTACGTGTCACTGCTCAATGTACAAGGCATTATCTCAGACACCCGCGTCAGAAACTCACTGCTGTTACAAGGTCTTACTGCTGCCAAGTACAGCCTTTAGATGAGACACAGTCCCATGGGATCTCTAAACATGTGAGCTGTGACTCCACTGGCCTGGCAGCTGTTAACACTTTGAACAACAGGCTTGTTCTCGCTGTGTTGTACTGAGGCATCTGAAAGCATGAAAGCTCAACCCCTCTAACTGCACCACGAGGAACCACAGTGCTTTTCTGGATGCTCTCCAGATCGTCCCCTTCTCCCAGCAAGTATGTCTGCACTGCCATTCCCTGCCTGCATAAACCTAGCACTCTTGGGCTCTCAAAGTGAGTGCTCTGCCCCCTTCAGCCCAGTGCCTTTGGGTTTATCACTCTTGCCCCACAAGAAGGCTTGGAGCACCAGACTAACAGGCCTATCCAGAGAACCCTGAACTAAGAACGCTTGTTGTTTCTTTGGCACCTACTAATCCTCACTTCAGCACCAGCTCTCAGCACCCTCTGCAGCTGGTTCCCAGGGAGCAAAAAGCCAGAGTGACACTGTCCTGTGGAAACACCTACCACATCAACAGCACTTGGTCTAACCCTGTTCTTACCTTTAAAGGGACCTTAGGGGAATATGCCGCTTCTCGCTTTGCCATGAGAGAGAGCTTCCTCATTAACCACAGCAATGTGGCTGGCTGGCCTTTCTCTTCTTTGTCTTCTTTTTCTTCCTCCCCCTGAGCAGAAATGTCTTTCTCTCTCTCATCTTCGGAAGCCTCCTGCTCTTCCACTTCACAGCCAAGTTCTCCTTCGGCCTCTTTACCTTCTTCTGAGGCAGGGCCTAGCAAGTAAAGAACTTTGGCCACAAAAAGCAAATTCTTTATAACCTGAAGTGTGAAACCAGAGTAGTCAGTCACTGCAGGTTCCTGCACTGTCAGCACCAGGTGTCCTGATTTTAGCTGGGATAGAGTTAATTTTCTTTCTAGTAGCTGGTGCAGTGCTGTGAGAACAATGCTGATAACACACCGACGTTTTAGTTGTTGCTCAGTAGCACTCACCCTGATCAAGGACTTTTCAGTTTCTCATGCTCTGGCAGTGAGGAGGGGCACAAGAAGCCAAGAGGGAGAAGACAATAACACCTGACTCAAACTAGCCAAAGGGATATTCCATACCACAGCATGTCATGCCCAGTATCTACTGGAGGGAGTATATACAACTGGGGGGAGTCGGCTGGGAGGGACCAATTGCTGCTCGGGCCATGCCGGGTATCGGTCAGCAGGTGGCGAGCAATTGCATTGGGCATCACTTGTGTTTATTAGTTTTTTTCTTTTCCCCTTTTAGTTTTATATTTTCTCCCCTTATTTCCATCATCATCATTAGTAATAGGTTTGTATTATACTTGATTTATTGGACTGTTCTTACTCCATGTTTACACTCAATTCTCCTCCCTATCCTGCGCAGGGAGGGGGTTAGCAAATGTCTGCGTGGTGCTGAGTTATCAGCTGGGTCTAAAGCATGACACCAGGGCGTATAAGAGCCAAGGCTAAATCTGATAGATGAACCTGCCAGCGCAGGAGGCTGTAACAGCTTCCCCCACCGCCATATTTGACAGACCATGTTGCTCTTAACAGGAAGGCCACCTCGGTATCTTCCTACAGTTGGGAAGGTCTTTCCCCATGTGCTACTGTGCCTTTTGAGCTTCAACACTTCCTGAGGCAGGGCTGCTTCTTTTTGTCTTCTCCACATCTGACAGCCCCCAGCTCTCCACAAGATCTCTGACCAGGTTGACAGTGGAGACATACCATAGAATCATAGAATAGTTAAGGTTGGAAAGGGCCTTAAGATCATCTAGTTCCAACCCCCAAACCATCAAGCAACAGTATAAAGGTGGACTACACGCTCTCAGCAAAGAGCCAGGGCTCCAGAGCAGCTGCACGGAGCCAGCACCAGGTACCTGGATCCCTGCTCCAGAATGTGGCTGCCCAACCTGCTCCAGTCTGGGCTGCAGAGCCAGACTCTCCCTGATGGAAGGGAGCCCAGTGATGATGAGGCCCTGCATGGCACCTCCCTTCATGTCCCTGCCACCCCTCAGCCCTTACAGCAGGCTGACACCACAAGGGAGACTTTGCTGGGCCCCTCTGAGACACAGACCTGCTCAGCTGCCCTCAGCACAGAGCAGCGGGTCCTGCACTGTGTATGTGTCCTGAGCCACCACCAGCCACAGTGCTGCTATCCTGACTAGAATGTTAGACTCCCTCCCTCACAGGCCAGGGCCTGTGCTGTGCCCCCTGCAGCCCCAAACACGCTCCTGCTCTTACCTGCTCTCCCAGGGACAGGTCCAGGAACTTGGACTGCAGCTGATGGCAGAATGCAAACGCGAGTTCCTTCATCTGGAGACAAGATAAAGGAGAAGGAAATTATTCCATGAAAGGGAGCCAGTAGCAGAAACTCAAAGCAATGTTTTGCAGCCACCAAAGGCAGTTCCCAGGGGAAGCCAAGGGATTGTCTCAGCACAGCTCCTGTCTGCACCTTGCAGCCTAGAGAGGAATCTTTCTGCTACTGAGAATAAGGCCCCACAGAAGCCCCTTCACAGCAGCAGAGACGCCTCCTCTATGATCACGATTAGGCAGCAGGCAAGTAACTAAAAGAAATGTGCATGGCAAACTGTAACACTATTTTAATGTCCAGCCAGGGAATGGGCATGGGCAGGGGGGAAGGAGTAGCACAGACCTTTTTGTCCAATTCAGCAGTCAAGAAGACTGTTGACGCACACAGCTCTGCTGATGTTTTTTTCCTCTTCCCTGCTTTTCTTTCCCTCCACTTGTTGACAAGATCTTCTGGCTTGTAAGATGCAAACAGCAAGCCAAAGATCTCAGTAGCTGTCAGCCAAACCCAGCTGTGAGGATACCACAGGTGAGACTGGACATGACCTGGAGGAAAGAAAACCTCCTTCAGCACAGCTTGGTGAGAGCAGAAAAATAACCAGGTCCCTCAAGAATTACCACAGCACATACAACAGTAAAAAGGGGAAGAAAATGAACCATGCTCATCTGTTCAGAACATATGCAAAGACTTCATAGCAACTCTATCCAGTCAAAGCAGAGTGGCTAAAAGCTACAGGTAACCAGATGTCTCCACAGTGACCAGGCCTTCTTGAATGCACCCATAGCACTTCCAAACATCCAAAGACAGGGCCATTGCTGGAAAGTGATGGCAATTGGGCAAGAAAAGTGGGCATGGCACAAAAAGACACTTGCTCTGATCCTGGCTGACAAGTCCTGTTTCTGCAGCAACTGTAGACCCCCTCAGGGACTTGGTGCCACAACTCACCTGCCCATGATGTCTGGGGACTGGCTGCTGTGAGACTCGAGTGAGCTGACCCTGCTGCAGATGGTCAGATCAAACCCCTGGACAAAGGCTGAGAGTGCTCCAGAGAAGAGATGGAGTTGCCTTCTTGTCTTGCCTCTGTCCAAGCTGCACATCACAAAGCAATCCAGGCTTTGTAAGGGTTATCTCCTGTCTCACTAAAGGCACCTGGCAGGCTCAGCTCTTTGAAGACATTAATCAGCCAGATCCAGGCTGCCTGATAGCAGCAAATGAAGCAATTAAAAACAAGGCAGCAAAATGCCAGTAAGCCAGTCTGACATTGTACAATGTCAGTCACAGAGAAACTGCTTGGATCAAAACAACCTCCAGGCTTTAACATCCTGGCAGACACACAGTATTTACTGCACTTCTACCACGTGCCATCACCTGCTGGCTGGTATGTATGATCTCATCAAGAAAAATCTCATCTTCCCAGGAGAACTGAATGTTTTCATCCAAAAGGATGTAATTATGGTCAAACATGCAGCAGTTTGCAACTATTTGCTCTTGAGATAACAGAAAATACTTCCCAGCAACTGAGACAGAGGGTGTCTTGTTTTCATCAACCATGTAACCTTTTCCATTAATATCTTCTCTTTCATTGCCCTGTAATTGCTATGTATTAGCATTGTACAGCACGCAACCCTTGTAGGATGAAGTCTGGTTGTTTATACTGGGGTGTGAAAAACCACGTATCACACAAAGAATCTTCGTAACACAGCCATAATAATTCTTGATACTTACCCCAGATATTGCTCAGAACATCACTGTTCTTGGTTAAGTGAATCAAGTTGCACTCTGTGATTAGCTTTGTTACCAGCACAAGAAAGCTGAATAGCAGCCTATCTGCAGCCTTCTCCTCCTCCTCTTCAGTTATCTAATAAAATCATCAAGTCGAGAAAGATGCTTATGAGAACCAGAAGACAGTGCTTATTTACCCTACTAGATAAATTTCAGATCAACCCTGCAAAGAAACAAGACTGACTTGTACCCAGTTCCCAAAATAAACAGAAGAGAAGGAGTTCCACTAAAGCATTTCTTCTGAGGACTCCATGCAGGAGATTGCTATTAGAATCATTCTTCTTGTTTTATATATAGACGCTGCTGTAACAAACTGTTAGGTTTCTAAATGCAAGTAATTACATACCTTGTATATCATTTATGTCTATATATGTATTTGTGCACATTTGATTCTCATTACTAGAGCCAAGCTGAGTGCAGATTAGCCCATGTCACCTGGGAAGCCCCAAATTATTAAGAGAACACTGTGTGCACTGTGGTTTACTAAATCGCCTTCAGGTCCTCCCTCACCCTGCCTGCAGTCACCTGCTGACTTGACAGAACTGGTCAGTGCTTTACCCACATGTTGTAGCACAGGGGGTGATTACACTGAATTTCTCCTCACTGCAGCTATTTTATTTCCATCCCTTATCAATTTACATACTATGAGGTGGTTCTTTCTTGTTCAGCATGTTGCCCTTGCACATTAGTAATATACATGGCCACTCCCCAGGCGCAGCACTGGGATCCCTTCGGGATTATCACATGCCAAGCAAATCTAAGGCAGCTTTGTTATTCTGAGTTAACCATGTGCACTAAAAAGGTTTTCCGTAAAACAAAACTGTGGTGTCAAGTACAGGAAGGGAACTCCTTTGAAAATTAAAGCTGTATGTAACACTGAACAAAGCAGACAGTCACAAGCGATGCACTCCTGACCTTCCATGCTTGCACAGACCAAATGCTGTCAGTGTAATCATCTGGCTGCTTTCCAGCTAAATGGATTCTAACCCACCCCAATGCACCTGTGCACCCTGCTGTTCTTTCTGATGGTTTTTATAACTCCACTTTAAACAACAAACAGAAGTCCCTCTTCTGCCACTGCAGGAAAGACCAGCAGCTGGGAAAGCTTCATCAACGTACATGATGCTGCATGCTGTCACACCAAGTCGTACAGGTGAAAAACAAAAGCCTGAGACTTGAGGGCTATCTCAAGAACTCCTCCTCTCCACAGAGACCCAACAGAGGCTGGGGCAAGAAGCAATGTATTTGCTGGTTACACAGTATAGCTGTAGGCTCAGGCCAGGTGGCTTTGCAAAGTTCCTTTGCCCCTTGTGTTGGGACACATGACATCAAATTTGGGCTTACAGACAAAAAACATACAGTTCTAGACCAGCGAAGCTCTCTTCAGATCAAAGGGGTGTGTTCCATGTCTTCCCTCAGTCCCAAATAGTAGGTCCAACTGTTAAATCTCTCCTACACTTCTTCCCTTTTTTCCATCTTGTTAGTTGTCTTTCCCCAAGACTGACACATGGGAAGGGTACTTACGTCTTCAAATTGAACCGGGTTGATTTCTTTTTCAATCAACGTGAGGACAGCTTCAAGCCGCCGTTCAAACCTTACCCCATCCACTTCAACAAACAAACCACATGCCTGGGCAGCCAGCCTCCTGTGGGAGCTCTGCCAAAAGAAAGGGTAACAGCCCTTGTTACTTCTTGATAATAAATCCTGCAGCTCCCATGCACAGAAGCTGGCAGCAACCTTTACTTTTGCCTGTAGCAACAGCATCTTGACAGAAGCTGGTTTCCAGAGTACTAGTGAGAAAGGAGTTGCTGCCAGGGAAGTTGTGTGGCAGCTCAAGTTATTCCTGGCAGCACACCCTAAAACTGAATGCTGAAAGGCCTTTTCCAGTCCAGTTCCCAGCTGCAAAGCTCCGGGGCCTACTTTGCACTCTTTGATTCTTCACAATGCCACAGGTGTCTCACAGCTATAAACCACAACTGAACATATTAGAGATGAAAAGGATGATGTGTTGCAGAACACTTACTCCACTAGTGTAGAGGGACAGAACATGAGTCCACTCTGAGAATAACTAAATACCCAGGCACCCAGACCAAATGGGAGATTTGTAAGACCAGGTTTGCCACCTTCTAGCTGCTGGTGACAAAATGAAGCAAGTCTGAGCTCAAGCAGCACAAAAAGCCAATTACTGCAATCAGAAGAGCTCTAAGGAATTTGCTCAAACCTCTACCTTGAACAAAGACTACACCTGGTAAAACACTGGACTCAAAACAGGAACTGTTTGAAAGCAGCACAGTGCAGCTGGGAAGTCTCTAGGCTGACTACAGCACCAGCAGTTCCCTCCATTTGTGTAGCTTTATGAAGCTGTATCATTTCTTGCTCTTCTTACTAGCAAGAGCTATGACACTGAGCACAGCTTTAAAGAGCTCTTATTCTAAGCTGCGTCTTGCTTATACTCCTTTAGTAGAACTACTACGTCAGGCACAATTGAACCCACCAACCTACCAGACCTAATCCTAGCGATCTCTCACTTGCCTTAACCTTAGTCAGTCCCCAAACAGAGGTCAGACCCAAAGAATACCTTCTTGCTGTGAAACCACTCTGTGACCAGCGAAAGCATCAGATCTTGTTTTTCATTGTTTATCTTACTCAGGAGAGATTTACACGTCAAAGCCGCCATCTTTTTGCATTTGGCAGAGTCATCATTTATCATCATCATACAAAGAGAGAGAAAAAACAGCCCACAGTATTTGTGGAGGAGATCCTAGAAAGAAACAACCATTAGTCAACCACGGATCCCAGAGGAGCTCCTGGCATTTAAAGGGGAAAAGAGGGGTATTTGTTGCACCACATACAGGAACAATGTCAGCCCTGAGTGAGGTACACACCACCCCTTTAAGATGAACTTAAAGGACAGGTTGAGCCAATTGCTGGAGCACACAGGGAGCAGTACAGCAACCCCAGCCCAGCCCTGCTCTGACTCTCAGCTGCTAACACGTCCCTGGGAGAGCAACATGTCAAAACTTACAGAGCATTTTCATGCCCAGCTCTCACTGAAGCTGTCCCTCAGCACTGCAGCAATCAGCCCAAAGGTCCTTCTCTCAGAGACAGCAGCTCTTTGCTAGTTGACAGAGTTGCCAAGGAACCAAGTTGAGATACTGTATCTAATCAGATGGTGGTGAAGCACAGCTTACTGTGCAGAATTTCTCTTCCTTCCTCCCACATTCTTGCTTGATTGCACTTCTCTCAGTCCCCTGAATGCACACAGTCAAGCTCCAGCTGAAGAGCTTGAAGGCAGTTTAGCATTTTGCATATGTTATCCTGCATAGATCATGGTTATTTTTTAGCTTTCTTTTTGATACGCCCCACTGAGAAGCTCTCTCTCACCAGTCAGGCCAACAAACAGATACGGTACCTCACATACCAGTTCAGTCAACCATCTCTCATCAATGCTGAAAACCCCCCACAAAGAGAAAACTCTAGACTTCACTTTCTATTCATGCCCCACTTCCTAACAGTTGTGTTTCTTCCTGGCATAAATCACCATCAAGTTTATCCAAACCCCAGCTGACTGAGCTTTATTCTAATTGCAGACTGAGCACATTAGATAAAGAAGAATTGCAGACTTTCCAGCATGTCATTTCTCTTTTGGAGCAAAGACAGGTTCTTTAGAGATAAATGAACGTTCTGCTCATGATAAGAGATTGCAGGAACTACCAAGTGCTTCCAAAATAAACTGTTCTGAAAACACTCTTACTGAAAGCTGCAGTAACTGTTTGATGCTTGGAACACTGAGAGGTGCTTGTTACCTTTGGGAATGTGTCAAGGAGGTATGCAATCATCTCCAGTGCGGATTCCCTTCCAGTTTCATATTCATACCTGTGAGGAAACAATTAGTGTTTAGGGCTGGGTTAATACTCTAGAAAGTTGCTAACAATTCACAAGAATGGCATGTGCCAGAAACGCACACTGATAGGGATCTTTCTGCAACAGCTACCAGACCCAGTCTGGTACTTCGGAGAAGAGAAGCAGCAGGCCCATCAGCTCCATCTCTAAGAATGGGCACAGCGGGACACACAGGCCAAAAAGGGCTCCAGCTAACTTGAGCCAGCACAGCTGCACCGTGCTATGCTGCTGCGGAACATGGTCAGCTACTGTCACCGAGAGCAAGGTGGGGGTCATGCTCAGGTGGAGGTTTCAGGCACGGTGCTCCGGCTGAACTCATGCAGTTGATCTCAGCTGTGCCTGCAACTGCAGTTGTGACCACTGCCATGGGACAGGCGTCAAATAAGCACACCTTCCTCTACTCTTTCTGGATTTTCCAGTTCACCTGGTTCACAACCAGCGGAACTGGCAAACCACTAAGAAACAAAAGAACCTTTGTTTTCAAAGAAAAACAAAACCAGCTGTGAAGTAGGGAAGAGAAAAAGGACTTGCTTTATCAAACAACCTGTCTCTGTCTCCTCATCAACAGCCCTTTGGCACATATAGTGGCCACTAAAGTCATATTTAAGCAACAAGGTTCTGTTCTGACAGAGATGTTGGGACTATAAACTCACTCCAGTTGTGCGAGTATGAAATCCAGATTGGCTTTCAGCTTGTCACCAAGGGGGTAGTCCAGAATATATTTTAAGTAAATCTGGAAAGAAAAAACACCACCACAGAGAGGAATTACAAGAAACGTTCACAAAAGCTTGTAAAAAGGTTATGAAGAAAATTTAGTCATGGAGCAACAAGTTTATGAGAATCATCCCTTTCATCCTGTTCCTATTACACCAGAGGCCAACAACTGCTTTCAAGCTCTGTGTTCAGAACAGGACCTGCGGGTGTTTGACATATGCCAGATCAGTCTTTAGAGTATTACTGTGATTTGCACAGGCTTCTGTTAAGAGAGATTCTGCATCCTTCAGAACTCATCCTGTAACTATGGAAATGCTCTATTTGGTTATGCACTGCTCCTGCTGCATCTGTATCCCAATGCTTGAAGTGAAGCAACCAATTCTGCCCTTTTGATTGCTTTTATTTTGGAAAGAATGAAGAAGTAGTAGGAAGGAATCATGGATTTGTGGTAAATTCTCTTCTTCTAGGATTCAGAAAAGGGCATGGCTCATCATTACATGGGCCTAAAAGCTTCCAAAGGAGGTACCATGTCACTGCTGCTGAGCAGCTCTCGCCCTGTACTTGGCACTGGTGAGGCTGTACCTTGAATACTGTGTTTGGTTTTGAGCCCCTCACTACCAGAAGACATTGAGGCGCTGGAGCACGCCCTGAGAAAGGCAACAGAGCTGGTGAAGTCTGGAGCACAAGTCCTGTGAGGAATGGCTGCAGGCACTGGGGTTGTTTAGCCTGGAGAAAAGGAGGCTCAGGGGAGACTTCGTTGCTCTCCACAACTAGCTGAAAGGAGATTGTAGTGAGGTGGGTGTCATTCTTTCCTTCCAAGTAACAAGCTGGGCAAGAGGAAATGGCTTCAAGTTGTGCCAGGGCAGGTTTAGATTGGATATTAGGAAATATTTCTTCACCAAAAGGGTGGTCAAACATTGGAACAGGCTGCCCAGAGACACTGTTCTGTCACCATTCCTAGGTGTACTTAAAGGATGTGTAGATGTGGTGCTATAGGCAAACAGTCTGTGATTCTGCTATGCATCGGTCACAAGAACTAAAGCCAGAGAGGTAACCAGGGAAAGAAGGATTAGTAAGAAGGGAAAATGGGGTTAGGGGTTCCGCAGACCTAGGGCACATATCTGTGAGAGCTGGGATGGCCACACTAAGCCCTCTAGCCTGTTAAGACAGCTGGAAAGAACATAAGATGACTCCATTCTACCAACCTGTCTGCACTGGACTCGTACTGGCTCACTCTGACCTGTGATGGCCAGCTGGGCAACTTTCTTCAGCACATCATCAATTTCAGGGACAATCAGCTTCCTGGATAAAATAGCCTAGAAATGTGAAAGCACAGCTGGAGTCATCATTTTGCTTGCACAGCATGAAATACAGTATTATGAACTGGGGCTGCACTGGTCTCAGGTAGTACATTAACACTGACTTTTTCACACCTTCAAACATAGCCAGAGCAAGTTAAAAAAAAAAAGGAAAAGGTGGCTTATAAATCCGTATCTGTTTCTGTTTCTTTCGGCTGACACAGAATATCCTGTCTAATGATCACAGATGTTGATTCTTTAGTAAAAACGTCCTCAGATGCAAACAGATCCTCATATGCATGTGTATAAAACAGCCTCCCAAAGAATTTTAGAATGACAAGTCAAAGAGGAAAGCTTTAATGCTCCCTCCTCCTCATAACAGAACTTTAACAGCATTCTGTGGCCTGTTCCTGACATGAGATAGGAGGCAGAATCACTGCCAGCCCAGTGGCTCACAGAACCCATACATCTGCTGCACAGAAATACCTTGAGAAGGCCAAAGGCAGTGGCTTGGCGTGATGAATCATAAATGTCTTCTTCAGCAAAGCCAAGCAACACTTGGAGCTGTTTGCTTGTTATCTGACTCTTTGCGTTCTTCACAAGTATTGTTACACACTACAAAATCAAATTGTACATTGTCAATACACATGCACTGCCATAAAACACAAGCCTACACCAAAGCCTGACTTGTTTGTACCACTTAAGCTTGAAAAGACAAACTGCTGCTCTGAAACATGCAGCAAACACTGTTCTCATCACATTTTCCTTTCAGCTGGCAATTTTGAGACAAAAACTGAATGCAAGCAAATATACAAATTCTGACTTGTCCTTGCAATGACTGGAGATGCTCACAAACATGAGCCATGATGCAGGAACACAGTTAGGAAGAGAAAAAATTCTGGCACTGGCATTCAGCATGAATTACTGTAACTTCCCCTTATGATCGTGAAGCTGTAACTAATTCAGCAAAGCATTTAGAAGATATCTACAGGAAGACACTGCAACTGTAGGAGTAGTTATTACTACCAATAATTGCCCTCTTCCCTTGTCTCACTTCAGTTTGCCAGGGCTTACTCCAATAAATCATGTTAAAAGCAAGCTATCCAAGTACAATACTGACGCCTCTCAAAAGACAGGGTGGTAACAAGATACTGTTATAAAAGAAGAAAGAAGGCAAATATGCCTCTATAGAAACACTTCTTCAGATCCAAGCTGTGCATTTACTGGGGGTAACTTTCTTTAAGTCTGCACTTGGGAAAGAATCAGCAAGGCCACACTTCCCTCGCTACCTTGGGATCTCCAGACTACCTCCTCCAGGGACAGCTGCAGGAGGGATCTGCAGTTGGAAGAATCTCATTCTACAAAGTTAATCCTCAAGTAGGAAAGAGCAGAGCTGGGTCTGACTTACTTTGAAACAGCTCACAACCAGGTGGAAATTCTGGCCTTTGGCTATTCCTGTCTTGGCAAATTCTTTCAGCAACAGGAAAAGCTGCTTGATCAGTGGCTCCAGATTTGTACTGACAGAAGGCAAAGGGAACTTCAAAATCCATACCAAGGACTGCAGAGCCCCAGTTATCACCTGTAAGAAAGAACCAAAGGACAGCACATGGGTACAATGACAGTGAAAGAATACTTTTCTCATTCTGTTACAGACAGGGCAGGCTATCTGCAACTGTGGTAAAAGGCAATTAGCTAACAAAATCAACCTCTTTCAAACCATTTGTATGTAATACAAAGGGTTGATCAGTTCTAAACCCACTATCTACCACTCCCTAATTCTCTAACTTTGATTTTACTAGGTAAAGACGTGCTGAGGGCAGCCACTCTTTCTGAAGTGGAGGTGCCTTCAAGGCATAGAAGTTGCTCTGCCAAAAACCCAGGTCACCTGAAATCCCTGCTCCAGGTATCTGATAGCATGAGGCATGCCTTCCATTCCCAGGGAACTCAAGGTTTAACAGTTCCCCTTCTAGGATTTCACTCAAACCTAATACTGCCCAAAAAGGAGGCTGCCTGTGGCACTGGGAATAAAGACATTGAAGTCTGATCAAAAAAACCCCACAGTTGTGACAACACTGCTTACAGCAGCCACAGGACTTCATGAACCTCCTTCACAGATAGCCTATGAAGTCTGCAAATTCCTTGTATGAACATGTTCCAGGAGAACTGGTCCATATTTGAATCTGCAGCACTAGGGGCACACCATTCAGTCCTCCATCAGCAACAATCCTTCCCTTCCCCTTGGGATAACATGTCTTCAGACCACTCAATCTGCACATCTATGAAACCACCTTTGAAAACTGGATGGTTTTCTCTTCTCTTGCAGATCAACTGCAAGATGACATTTGTGGGCAGGACCTTTCATAGTAGAATAGACAGAATAGCAGATTCTAGCTCAGAACTGTACCTTGACATCCATAGATTTCAGGCAGTCTAGAAGCAGCTGAACAAAAGGGTCTAACATTTCCAAAGCATGCTCCTCAGAAGAATTTACTTTGGACCTCTTCAGGCTCATGTGCAGCAGCTGGAACAGAAAACACAGGACATTAATCTCAAAGTCAGGCTGGGACTCAAGTAAGTCATGTCCCACATTGTTTCAGGTTATGGTAGAATTAATGCCATATCCCATTCTAGTATCTGCAACAAGCTGAGCACCCTAAGAGGTATCAATGGAGTTATCACATGCAAAACAAAGTTAAGGCTAGTGGCTGTGTTGTTAACACAATATATCCACAACACCTCCCTTTGAATACTCTTAACAACAATTCTGATTGCAAAGCTTTCTATCTGAGGAGATCCTTACCCGAAGCCCTGAATCAACCAAGATATATGTGTTAGTCCTGCTGCTGACACGTGCTTTCTGCCCTCCTCTCATGGGAGCGGGCTGGAGCAGCAGGCAGCTCTCTGGTTGCAGACGAGGATCTGGAGGAGTGGCAACTTCTTTTCTGCAAAGAAGAATATTCAGATTTCAACCCTCTCCACAACAAACTTACTGCTGGGAGTGAAGAGAGCTGGACTGTGCTCAGCTGCTACCCACACAGCAAGCAAAAGGAGGTTACAGCCAGAACACAATGAAATAAAACAAACTTGAGAGCAGCGTGACAGATGGGACCCTCAGACTTGAGAACAGTATCACTAGTACGAAGATAACACTGATTTGCATAACATCCCCATTTTTTCCCCCCCTCAGTGGACAGACCAGCTTTAGCAGTTCCTTCAAGCAAATGCACCTCCTGCCACTGCCCACTGCAATTCATTTACTGATATTTACTTCAATTTCTGATGGCTTATAAAATCCCAAGAAGTCTGCAAACAGCTTTCAGATCCTTGAGCAAGCTGGCCTAAATAACATAGGAAATGCAAGACACCCAGATCCAGCTCTGAGCAGTGACACCACCAGAGAGGAAATCCAATGGCTCTCCTTGACTTCACCAGCACCAAAGTGATCAAGTGTCAGCCCACAGTTCCTTTTGTTCCTGACTCCATGAAAATGTCCAGGATCCCAAACACCTCTTACATACCTGTTTGTAGCTCGCTTCTAAACACCGACCCTCATCGCTTCATCCAAACACCCAAATGCATATACCAGCTTAGCAGATGGTGACAAACCCTTGCTGAAGGCCCTGAACACTTGCAAGAACAGACTTCTATGAGTTCAGCAAGTGCTCACTCCCATTTCCAAGCTTTCTCCTTGCCCACTGACTGCCCAAGTAATTCACTTACATTGAAAACAAAAGGCAAACAAAAGCAAGGAAACTCTCACACATTTGATCAGTTGGATTTGAGAGCTGCCACTTCTGCAAGCAAACCTCCCAGCTGATAACAGATCACCCAGACAACATCCTGGAACTCACCTGGCCTTCTCAGTGAGCAAAGGCAAGTTTTCACTGATGAGACCATGACTGAGCAGGAGAAGGGACTCTGCGTTCATGTCCATATTGGAGATCAGCCCTTGCATGATGTGACGCAGTGCCTCATGCACCTTCCGGACTATCTTCAAGCTTGTGGTGCTCTCCAGAATCTGCAAAGGCACAACCATGAGAATCAGGAGGGCAACATGAGGGAAATGGTTTGTGATCTGTATTCAGAAATCATGGGAAAAGTCATAACAATTCATCTCTCATCTCATGCTGTCCTACATCCCCATCTCTGTACATGAACAGCATTCCATCATCTCAGCTCTCCACCAACATGTCTCCTTTTCTCTCCAGTCTCTTCACAGCCTTCAGCCTGTTTAACTGTGGCCACCACGACACTTCAGAGCTCATAAGCAAACCACTGGACTCTATTATTGTGTCAGCTTGCATTCTACTCAGAAGAACTCAACTCCGAAAAGTATTTACTGCACATGGACAGACCCTGAATACATTTTGGTGACATTTCCTTCAAGATCAAACCAGAGAGCAGCCCTGCAGGACTTTGGAGCTCCAGAAGAAACAAGAGTTGGCAGAGGGAGAGGGCATGGAGAACTCATAGTGGGATTTCTCCTCTCTAGCAGGGGTTGAAAGCTTCCCAGAATGCTATTTACATCTTATGACCTGGGTGCATTACTGCTTTCCAAATAAAAAATGGGAACTTAAAGCAGGATTACATAGGTAATTTCACAGTAGCCACCTGGAGGCTCTAGAGTTTCTTTTAGACCATACAGAATTTAGGGCGCTCAGAGTTACGAAAGACACTGGCTGACTTTTCCTTACCTCTTTCAGTGGCAGAATAAGTTTTGTCATCTGGCCCTTTCCTATGAACTTTCCAAGTATTTCATAGGAATCATAACTCTTGTTCTTGCGCGCTTCCATGACCTTGGAGACAATTCCCTTCACTTCCTTCTCTTCAGCTACATTCCCAAACAACTCTTGGTTGAAAATCTTTGGAAAACAGGCAAGAGAAGTGAATGAGAGGAGCAGAAAAGCAAAGCCAGATTGTCCAGTAGCAGCAGAACACCATGATTCTTCCCCACTAACAGAAGAAAAAAGTTCTCCAGGTTTCCCACAAATCATGTCTACATTTCTTTTGTCAACACTGAACACCCCAGTTGAAGCACACCAGATGAGAATGCTTACCTATGGTGGTGTGATACAAGGCGGTCTGACTGTAGTCAGACCAAAACATCCGAATATACCCCATCTGGGTGGTCATCTGAGCTCCTGGGCTCCCTCAACCAGATTGACTAGATGTCTGTTGACTTGTTCAGCCATTTAGAGTACAGAGAAACATAATCAGTTACCTTAATCTTGAACCCATTCCCTCCCAGGATGCAGGGCTCAGGATACAGCCCCAGATATACTTTGCATCTCTACAAGCGGTCTGCTGATGCCTCTTTCTTTGCAGTACACACACATAATCAGTCCTGTCCGCTGTCAAGTCTGAGAAAATCTACACAAAACCTTCTCCTCCCAGAACCTGCCCCAGGCACTTCATGATGCTCTTTCCTTCAATCTTGAATAATTTTTACCTCAATCAGGATATCTAAGCAGGGGTCCAAATCACCAGCACTGAGCCTGGTAGTAAGGCCCTTCAGTAACAGGTTCACAGTGAAAGTCAGCACATGGAGCTAGAGAAAAAAAGAACAGATCATGCCTCCAAACCCATGCATAGAACTCTTTAATAATACTGTATGGGGAAAATACCATAGCAGAGACATCACAACTCACACACTGCGCTTGAGCTATCATTTTAGGAAAAAAAAGTCACTGGGAGGACACAAATCCCTATACTGGCAGCAGGAAGAGGACACCTGCCCCTTCACAGACAGAAGGGTTGGAATCTCCTCTTTCCCCAGTGCTCTTACTGGTATTTTTAGGCTGGGCTAATCAGCACTTTCACTGTTATAGCAGCTAGAAGCTCACACTGTTCCACTGTGGTAATTCACACAGAAAATTATTCTTAACTCCAACCACTGTGGAAAAAGGAAATATGAATTAATAGAGCCTTGGCTCTGGATCTAGGAAGCAAGACTTCAATTAGCATCACCACATATTGCCTGTGCAGTCTCTGCGGCAACTTGCCTCAGATGATGCTTAGTCATAATAACTGTATTGGAAAGATTTCCACTAATTCTTACGGGAATTAGAAAGTCATCCTTCACCTCCATATCTAAACTCTTCATTGGAAAAAATGGAGATCTTCACTTCTTCCCTGCTTAGACTCCAAGTTCTTTGGGTTCAAACCCTCATCTGCCACTTGGCATTATGAAGACATCAGTAGGCAACAGCAATAGCATTTAGTCATATTGTGCAAAACAATTTAAGTAGCACTTTGGATTCTCCTCCTAACACATTAAAAGAACTCTACAGAGAGCAGAAGAGGAAGAATTTCAGCATTACCTGGTATCCATGGACAAGAGTGGACTGCATCTCTTTTAAGATGTACAGAAGGTACTGCACTCCCAGCACTTCCATGATTTTAGTGAGGGTGTTGCGGGCAATGTCCCGGATTTCTTGGAATTTGTTCCTCAGGAATGTGCAGACTTTCAGCAGGATGCTGGAAAGAGAGAGAGACAGCTTAGTTCACCCCCACACAGCGTGGAACTAATTACACTGCTAGCCAAGGAAACTGCTTTTCAGGGCTGTTTCACAACCTGAGCTATGCCCAAAGGCAGCCTTGCAGAAAGGCCTTATAGTCACACACACACTTACTGTCCTTCAAGACATTTTACCAACTGTCCGTTTTTTCTGTACATTATTCTTTCCCCAGATCTGCCAACCCTACCTCTGCGCCTTGCTTCCCACCTCCAGTCTTATTTAAGGATTTATCAAGTTCCTTTCAAACTTAGGCTTTACAGAAGTCAAATCCTGACAGAAGGGAAAACTAGGAAACCACGTTTCCAAGATAAGTATTTAAGGATTGTTAGAACGCCCCTCTTGGATTTAGCTTTGTACTTAAGGACAGCTTGAGAAAGGTGCCTGCAGTCATTCCCAGAACAGCATTTACGTTGCTCCAAAGGGATTTACCTTGGCAGGTTGGCTTCCATCACTTCTTTGGGAAGACACTGCATCATCCTGACCATTGCAAAAGCTAATGGAATACGAACTACCTCATCATCATTCACAACGTTGGATTTCACAAGCTTGTGTTCCTCATCTCTTTTAACCTTTTTAAGAGAGCAAGACACAATGCACTTTTAATATACATAAACAATTCTGGCTTTTTCTCAACAAACTCTAGATGAGGCCAACAAGGCAAGCTCCTATCCTCGGCTGACTATGGAAAAAACCCAGACATCTAAAGGACAGGTGAGAGTAATCCCTGTGTTTTCAATACAGAAACTCAGCTGGGTGCTAGCAAGTGGCTGAGAACTTTTCAACAGTCTGCACAAAGTGAATTGTTCCACTTGTGCGGTTCAAGCCAGTTCTCAGCAGGGAAGTAAAGACACCACACCCACACTGTCCAGAGCGTCTGTCAGCAATACCCATGGCAAAACAAAGCGGATGAAGCCTCTTTTGTGTTTTCAGGTGGTTTCTCTCCAGTTTGTGCCTACTTTTTTTCATGTGCTGCATTTCCACTGGCTCTGAATTAGCACCCCAATCTTTATAGTAGCAGCACAGCCTGTAAAAAACCTTCCCAATGCCAACTCCTCACCTTTGCAGCAATACACCTGTGCAATTTAGGCAAGATGTTGACTGTAACTGTATCTTGAATGTGTTTGATCAGACACTCCAGCTCCTCTTTATTTCGGGGTAAGAAAGAAACAGGTTTGGTCACTTGCTCAGCATCTTCAGATGTCTCAGCTGCTTGCTCAGGTTCTGCCGGCTGCTCAGGGAGATTCTTGCTTTTCTTCTCCTCAACCACCTCTTCTTCCCCTTCACTCTGCTCCAGCTCCATGGTTTCTTCAGCTTCCACTGCTGGCTCAAGGTCCATGGCAGCAGCTTCTGTCAAGCAGTTGCCAAAAGCATATGTAAACACAGGAGGCCAAAAAATCTAGCCCTTACAAGAGGCTCTTGCGATAGCTTTGTTCTAGACAAAGCTGCTACTTATCATCAGTGACAGCAAACAGAGTTGTTTTACTGGGTACAAAAGCTCTGGCATGCTGGTTTCTGACAATCACCCCTCAGGGCTAGGCTGATTCCCTGCACATTGAGCAGTTAGTGTTTCTACAGTCAGGAGCAGAAAGCTCACCTTGGTTGTCAATGGTCACAAGCTGTTTTTCAAGTGTTTCATAGTCAAAGTGAAAGGCTTCCAGCACTGTCTCTAACAAGCTGAGGAAGGAAAACATGAAGGTTGATCAGCCCTCTGCACGAAAAGGAGAGGCTGCATACACCAACACACAGAAAATCTAAACAACCGCTTTTTGGAACACTTTGGATTCAGTGACACTGCAGCAGCATAAGGAGGTTTATCCTGAAATAACAATCCAGGAAATAAAAACTGATTGCTTTTCAGCTAGATGCATTCTGTGACCTAGCTCTATGAAACCTCACAAACAGTGGTACTGGAGCGCTGGACATGTCCCAGGAGTGGGGACATCCTGACAGAAGCAAAGGCTGCTAATACTGGCATGCACTCAGTGAGACACAGCATGGGAAAGTAATGACCTGTTAATCCTTTGTAGTTGCAGGCTGCAAGACCATGCCCACTTTCACTTGCACATGCCCACATCAAAGTCAGCAATCTCTCATTCCAGGGAAGAGGCTAAAATGCATGTGAGACGGAATTTTGCCTTAGCAGTCTCTGGAGAAACTTAGAGCAGCATTGCTCACAGTACCTACCTGACTCCCAGCTTTGGACTGATCTGTCCTGTTTGCAGGACATGGATGAAATGCTTTAAGTGGTACAAGTACGCTGACCATGAGAGATGATGGCAGACAGCTCCAACAACTTCAACTGAGGCTGTTACCATATTTTCATGCTGCCCAAAAGATAGAAATTGAGTTGCTGTTAGCATTCATGAGGAACATGTCTCTAAGGCGTACTTTACTCAGAGCAACAAGATCCAGATGTAAGGTCTGTCTAGTAGAGATGTTTGAAATTCAGCTCTTTTAGGTCTCCTCCTGACCACCAGGTAAAAAAAACCAAAACAAACTTAAAAAGTCACAGCTCACCAAACAGATCTCCAGACCCACATCCTCCAAGTATTTCTGCACCAATTTAACTTTTCTCACATAACTACATCTATGGGATCACTTGTGTGAAGAACTAAAAACCATTCAAGGTATCTAACCACAGACACATGGGACATTGCTAGGCTATGCTGCTCAACTAGAAATGCACATCATTAAGCTACATCTGATATGAAATAAAACGTCTGTTTCTTCACCAAGGTTTCAATCAACACATTTTACCTCCCCACTGGTCAAAGAGCAACTGCAGTCACTCTACTGCTGGGCACAGCCTGTACGGCTGCAGGTGCTGGATCCTGTGCTCTAATTGTTTCTGTTTCAGAAGAATATTTCTCAGAGTAAGCAAAGTAGATATGTGCTTGGTCTGACACAAGCAGCTCTGCTGTTCTCCTGCTAGTGTGCAGGGAACTACAGAGGTGTGAAACCTTGCTTTTCCAAGTCACAAGTAGAAAGTATATCCATACTGACATTACCAGTAATTTCACCACATGTGTGTTCAATAAATGTCTGGAAAGTGACTGCAAAATGTCACCCTTCAAACTTTAATTACAAAGCTGCTAATGATTTCAGAGGTTTTCAGCCAATTCCTGCAGTTCCCCTGTAACTCCAGAGAAAACAGTATTTATTTCCACCTCAGTTACTAAGCACAGCCCAGGTTGCCTAACACACACATTCTGCTGCCAAACAGTAACTAATCTCACAACTGAACAGGAAGACAGAAGCTTGAAGATAGAGGAAAAAAAAACCACCTGATTACAAAAAATGCAAACAAATATGACCTCAAATAAAAAAAACCCCACAGAACAAAATAACAAAAAAACCCACAAATCCCCAAACAGTTAGAGAGATCCAACTTTAAGAAACAGCACAGGTTTAGCAGATAAAGAAATGGGCCCAGACTGCATCTGCACCTCGCAAATCCTCTTTTTGCCACCAAAAGCAGCACAGTGCTCTTGTCTGAAAGGGGAACGCTCACTCTACAAACCTATCAGCCTTTCAAAGTCTTTTGTGGAGAATGGTATACAAGAAAGGTGATGAAATTCAAATGGATGCATTCAACTTAAAAGCCTACCTTAAGCATTTTTTCATTAAAAATGGCAGTAGTAGCATAAGGCATGATGTAGTTCTGCAGGGATTTAGAAGACAGCACAAGCTTTTTTTCTGTGAGCTGCTTAGCCAGTTTCCTCAGAGCTCGTGCTCTCCTGTGGATCTGAGTCAAACATGAGAGACAGATAATGAGGTGGTCCTTTAGTCAGATAGCATGAGGGAGCACATACATTTAGCAGTTCTGAAAATGCCTCTATTTTAAATAACTACAGAAACATATTATGGTCATTTCCAAGGATAGGCCATTCCCTTTTCCTTCAGTCTCTGGGCTTTCACTAGCCTTTTGCCTCAATAGATATTCCAACTCAACAGGATAGTTCATGGTCAATTCACAATCGTAAGACTGTGCCCTCTTCAGGTATCAGACAAGGGAGGCAACTGATAAAAAGATAAGAAGGCCTGATAAAACTACAAGGAAAAAAATTAGACTCTACATGTAACTATAGATGTAACAAAGGTTCTCTCTCATTGTGTCTCTGGAAGTAGGAGAAATGCTGTATTTTCATACTGCAAGAAGAAAAACAGGAGACCAGGCTTTATGCAACATTTAAATTGCAAAGGTCTGTGAATGAAAAGGGGCTGCAGAATGTCCAGACAGACAGTAGCTGAGAATAGGCTAGAAAAAAAACAGAAAGACCTGTTCCCTGTCTACGTAAGAGGGATCCTCAGGACACTGTTGCTGACTGTGGGCTGGGTCACACACAAGTTGTAAAGTGGAGTTGCCTGCTCAAGATCACAAACAATTATCTAAAATGAAAGCAATTCTTTCAGATATATTAGGAAAAGGTAAAAACCAATACTGCTAAATTATAAAATCAAGAAATTTCTAGATAAAATACGACTTTGACTCATAATCACCCTTGTGATGATGGCCATATCCTTTTTTTTTTACTATATCTAATGACATGGGTTCAATTTCTCTGTAAAGATAGGACACGGATGCTTTGCAAAACACTACCCCACAGTAAAATCCTTTTGCTTTGGTAGAGTGGAGAGATGCACTAGGGAATGCTTGTTGCCTTTTACCTGTATGTGTTTCATGTTCTCAAAGAAATCCATGTCGGGATCATGGTGGTTCGTCAACTGGACCAAATCCCGGAATTCGGGATTTGCTGGGAATGTTTGAATGAGGCAGGAAAGCAATGACGTATAGTCCTGCTGGATGCTCTGCAAACAGCAAGCAGCAAATGGTTAAGTACCCCTCGGAGAGGTTGCTACACACTGCTCAGAAGAGCAGTGCTGTCATTTGCAAGTGATTTAGGCCAACAAGTCCTATTCTTTCATAACAGCAAATACATTTGTATTTTTGACTGCACATAAATTAAAGTCTCCCCTCCAAAGAACGAGCTACAACTAAGAACAGCTGAACAGCAAAGAAACATAAGGCAGCTGAGTTCTATAACTTTTTAGATTTTTATAAGATTTCAAATGAAGGGTAAGTTCACAGCAGGTACCTGCACTTCTTATCTCAGCAAGGGACTCAAGAGAATTCATCAATAAAATGTCTCATGTATCCTGGTGTCCTGAATACAGCTGGAGATGTGTAATCAGATAGCACTGCCTTACCTCAGTCTTACTCTTCAGACCCCTTCTCATAGATTCCAGGAGAGTATGCTGGATTAGCTCCTTGTAGTCATCATCTGTGTGGTCAATTTCTGCCAGTCGGTGGATAAAACTTGTCAAGCAAATGCTTGCGTTGTCACTAAGAGCCATATCCCCTAGCTGAGTGGATGGAGAAATTGTAGCACATGAGTCTGGATATGATACTTTTTTCTCCCTGAAAGCCTGGACTGAATTGTACCACTGGATACAACATAACAAGAAATACAGAAACCCAGTAACTCTTGACCCTTTCCTATAGAACTTCTAGCCCTGAATTAATGCCCACCCTTCCAAACAGGAAAAATTCTTTTAGATTTACCAGCAGCCCCACACATCCAGAACATGCTGCAACAAAGAGAAATGTAGCTTTTCATACAGTACAAACTGACCGAACAGTTCCAGGGCTCACTGATAGAAAGGTGCATTGCACTGTGAGCCTTCTTGCTGCACTGTATTCACCCTTCTGGACACACAGATGAAAACGCAAGCAGAAAAACATTAAAACCGGGTGTTTATAAGAAGACTCAAATGTGCTCTGTGAATTTTTTGCAGTGTTAGAGATCAGCCAACAGAAATAATTTGGAAATTAGATTCATCATGGACACATGGTGTGCAAAGCAACAGAAGGAAAATTCAGCCAACCTGGATGGTATAGAAACAGTTGTGCAGAACGGGGATGAGGAAGTCGATATCCACTCTTTGCATTTCCTTGATGCGGGCTGTGATTGACTGGAATGCTGACAGACGTACATCAAAATCGACATCATCGAGATGTCGTTGATCAAAGGCATTCAGCTGTGAGAAAGCAACAAGTTTTTCATGAAGGCAGCCAGAAACATGACAATACAATGTTGGGGAAAAAAGTGAACAAAGAAACTGGGCATACCTTAACAACATCAGTAACATACTTCAATTCACTATCCAAATCAGATAAAGTCTAAAAAGAAACATGAAAGATAGTAGTTTAACTGCTAAGTTGTTGAAATTTTGGAGAACTCAAGACAAAAAAAGAAGCAACAGCATCAATCTTTCTCTTTTTAGAAGCTTACTAACAGTTATTCTTCCGTAACTTGGAAGATGGGTGTTTTAAGATCGTACGGTTTTAAGTATCTAACAGAGCATTTCCTGGGTTTTCCTGCTGAAAATCAAGTTATGTAAGTCACTTCTTAAGTACAAAATAGCCTGACTGCTACAAATCTGTGAGAGAAGAATACAAACAAAAATCATCTTCATGATGCTGAAATCTATTCTTATTTCATAAAATACAAGATTCTTTATGGAGGAAGTGTGCTTTATTTACTTTCTCTTACATAAAAGAACCCTGATGATGCTCACATCAACCAGGCTTAAGCCAAAACTTTTACAAATCTCTGTGCAGTTCATTAATTTCTATTATATACAATTCTGCTACTTAACAATGTAGATTAAAAAGGTTTTTAAGCTAATGTACAACAAAGACAAAACACTGCTACTTATTTTGTCCTTGATTGCTTAGAGCAAGTGAAAAAAAGAACAGTAAGACACATAAAAATGCAATACCTGAAATACCAAACACAACTTATGTCGAGACAGTTTGTTCTGGATGACAGAAAAAAGCTTTGCCAGTGGTTTAAGAAAGCTTGCAGGGTTTGAGCAATGCTGCAGCAAGTTCTGTATTGTCTCCAGAATGTCAATCTCTGTACCCTGAAAGAGACAGATAAGGACACACTCAATGCAATCATCAAATCTCTCAGAAGCACTTGCAACCTTTCAATTAGACACAGCAGTGTTAGAGAGGAGTGCCATCATGATGAACACTTCTTTTGTGTGTCTTTCCTCAAATGACTCAAAGATCAGGAGAACTAACAGAGCTTTAAAAAGTGGTCTTCCTTTAACCTGTGAAGCATCATATACTTATATGATCTCCCTGGATGCAAATCATACATGGTCCCCTAGTAACTCAGAGATTGAAAAACCAAGAATCCTCTGTGAACAACTGAATGACCACTTGTAAAGTGGAAGTTACAGGTTTCTGCCTAGCAGTTCTTTCTGGAAGCCTAAAATCTCTCACCGAGCAACTGCATGTCTTAAGAGAAACAAAACCTTGATCCAAGGATTCAGGCAATCAAGCTGAATAAACAACACATTCATCCATTGCAGATGGGATTGCAGTTCAGAAAACAAGGTTTGGCAGCGAGGGAAACACAGGCAAAATAGTCTACCAATATCCTCAGTGACTGATTTACTTAATAGTTTACAAAAGCCTAAGCAATGAAGAGCTCTGCTTCCTTCAAGTGCAGCCCATATGCTTTGCATACTTGAGGAATTCAGGCTTTTAGGGAAGTTTCAGTTCCGAGGCACACTTCTGTACCCACGGATAGATTCCTTAAGAATGGAAGGAGAACAAGATGGAAGCAGGAGATACGGGAGCATGTTAATAATACTGTATAATGTTTGCCTTTCATCCTGCAACAGATCAGTGTAGCCCTGCCCATTACACAGCATGTACTACACACATATTCAATCATATGTATTCATATTGCTGTCCAAATGCTGTGGCTTTGGGGTGCATAAAATCCACAGTGAAGAACACTGTAAAGGTTTTGGTGGATTGACTACAGTGGCAAAAGACGTAAAGATGGTATAAAAAGTCCTGCAGACCTTCCCCATGAAAAGGGGGAACAGAGTCAGCCTTTGCACTGGCATTCCTAGACTCGTACCCATCAACACGCAATGTCATAGCATTCTGAGCAGCCTACAGACACATGAAGACTTGATTTCAGGCTAATCATAAGAAATGGCATTTTAAACAAACATATTTCATTAAAAAAAGCATAACACATGTTTAATAGGGGGAAAAGTAATTTCTACCTACCTGCTCCATGTTACTCTGATAAAGGAAAGGGAGGAGAAGGCTCACAAGCACTGAATTCTGATTCTTTTCTTGTATAAATTTGCTGATCCTGCACAGTGAGATAAGGTAATTTACTATTTTACATCAATTCAATAACCAGTCTAGAGCAAAGAACTCCTCGGTCAGCACTACTGCCATACTGCAGGGCTCTGACAGCCCACCCAGGCTAATAGGGCGTACCCACCAAAACCACGGTATCAGCCCAAGTATTTAGTTCCATATGACTGCAGGCATAACTACCTTTTCCTACTCCCAAGGCATTGATTTTGAGTACCAGGAACAGAAACAGCTAGGATCAATTTCTGAAAACTTTTTGCCCCAGTCACCAGCAACTTGGTCAATGACAGATCCACGTACTTCCAACTGTTCTAAGTTTAAATAATTTGAGACATAATGTGTTTTGATTTGGAACCTATTATGAAAAGGCTCTTTCTTCCTCCCATCTTCCAACTTTTTAATTGTTTTGAGCTCTAAAAAGTCACTTACTTAGAAAGTATACTCAGCTCCTTGCTGACTTGAGCTCTATACTTCTTCTTTTTCACCTTCTCCACATTTAACATTGTTTTGCTGAAGTACTGAAGTATGGCAGGAACATGAGGCATAACCAAGCGGCAACCTAGGGTGAGGGTCTCTGTAAGGGATACAACAAACAAAGGGAGAAACACAAAGGAGGTTTCTTTACCAGTAAAAGAATGAAAATCAGTGGGAGCTATGAATGTGCAGGGCAGCAGGCAGCTGGGAATATGCACCAGTACTTGCTGAGACCAAGTCTAACATGTCTGAGCTGGAATCAAAGAAAGCATATGCAGACAATAAAAGCTCTCCTTGCAGATTTCAGTAACAGCCCTGGTAAATTTGGGCTTATCAAAAGGTACCAAAGGCATTCCTCAGAGGTAGTAACTATCTCCTAAAATGGCTGGAACGTTTTTTAGGTGTAGCTTTCTTTATTCTACCACTGACCTCTCAGACAAATAAAGCTGCCATAACAAGGGCACAGCAACTGAGTGATCTCCTTCCCACTGCTTTTGTGTGTTACAGGTGAATGATGGCTCCACAGCATCAAACACACCATACCACCCTTCCTGTCTACTTCCACTCAAAGATAAAAAGAATCAGTGTCAGGTCTTTCTTGTCAGGAAACACAGACTGAACATCAAAGTGATACATGACCATGCACATATAGGGAGTGGGCCATTATATAAAACTTGGTGTTAGGCTCAGAGTCAAGTCAGCAACAGAGTTCTTGAAGTTATCACATCAGTCAAAGCTTCACAGACAAAACAGGTCAACACCAGAAACATTTTCCTTCTTCAAAAGGAATTGCTTCCATGCTCAGGACTCTGACACTCAAATGTGGATCTCTGCAGTCATTAGATAAGCAGTACTTCACAGATTTTTAGCATGCCAAGATAAATTTGTACATTGACAATTCCATCTCCACTGGGAGGTCTCCTTCCCTGGTATTCCCAGCCAGTGAAAAGACAACCTCATCATAATCTAACACCCCCATTCAAAGCACCAAACATGCCCCTCAAAACTATTTTGCAGGCATACCTTCTGTCACTTCTCTAGTGATTGTAACAGCACAGTCAGTTACACTCAAACTGGAAACCTGCTCCGTGGGTTCAAAATCTGGGCTGTTGAGAAGACTGTCAGCTATGTCCATCACAAGACTGGATGTGGCCTCAGACAGATTCTTGGCTGACAGCACAGCAAACACATTTGAAAGTATATCACACTCTGGGTGATTTGGTTGCTGCTTGGCCAGCAAGGGGAAATACCTGAGAGAAAGATTATAAAAAAGGTTGGGTAAATAGAATGAATGGAGGTTGAGAAGTCATCAAGTCCCTTTTCTTTCTTCAAGATAGCATCATCTAAACATAACCCTTTCTCCAAGATGTTTGTCCAAGTCTCCTGTTAGTCTGCTCCTGATCTAATGATCCAATACCATTTCTTACAGAAGTTAGTATGTAAGTTCATGCCTACAAATGATCTGTCTTAAACCAGATACTGGATACTTGAGGCAAAGGAAAAGCAGTGAGTCTGTGGAAGAGGCAAAAACCACTCAAGACAGCAGAGTTGGAATTTCTCAGTGTTTCCATAAAAAAAAACAAAACACCTCTTTTACGACTTGCAGTCTCAGTCACAGATTCCATGCTGAACCTGCCCATATTCTTTCATAATATAGAAAGAAATAAGGAATCAAAAAAACCAGGAAATGATCTATTGTGAAACTGACTTCCCACCTCCCAGGACTAAGAAGTTATTGGTCAAAATGCAGACATATTCTAAGAAGGCAGCCCTTTTCCTCACCTGTCATCACACTTTGGGCTATATATGTGCTTAGTTGCTAATACAAGGGAAAAGCAGCCCACTAAAAAGAGAGTAATTGCATAAATTGGAAAGCTTCCCAACTGCATTTGGACTGTCTTCAAAAGAATAATGGTCTAACAGAAAAAGAAAATATGTGTTTTGACACAATTATTCATAATCTGCTAGTGTGCCTTTTTTCCTTGAATTCTGTGTATTCAGAATTCAGAGTACATATGCTTCTTTGCAAGGAGAACACTTACCTGGGATTCTTACTCCAGGTGTGAATGAGTTTGAGCAGAAAAGTTGGAGAATACTGACTCTCTGAAGCCAATCTGCAGATCTAAAGCAGATAAAAGTCAGATACCACTGCAACACAAATAGTTAAACTCACTTAAAACCATCATCTCTAACAAAGACCTCACTGCAATCTACAGTTTACCTATTTTTGGAAAGCAATTTCATCGTAATTTTTCCAGCTTCCTCAATATTTGTGGAATCACTCTTAGATTATCCTACTCCTATTTATGCACTATTCCAGCTACCACTTTTGTCCTCCCCTTGAAACTGGCTCCCCATGGAGCCTCACATTTGCTGCAGAGACCTAGCAACCTCTCCTGGGCATACCTATGAGATCTCAAGAGCAACGCCCAAGACTCACTTCTCCCGTAATTCCTATGCCCTGGCCGCAGCACCCGTCATTGCAGTATCTGTCCTATGCCTCCACAGTCTTGCTGCAGCACCCTCTCTGCTCAGGGAGAGGCTCAAGCACTGCACCACACACCAGGAATGGGATCTCCTAACAGGGTTCTGTCCCCTAAACAACCCCACCTAAGAGCTGCGCAGCCTAAGCCCTGCGCAGTAGCTGTTGCTCTTTCACATGAGTGCATAGAGGTAAAAGAAACCTAGTGGCAGGTCTCTGCCACTCCGCAACCCAACAGGCTGCATGCAAGTCACACAGCTGGTTTTCTGCTCTGACCACAGCTGGACTGTGAGCAGGGCACTGTTAGTGAGCACACAGGCAAGGAAGGCTCCAGTGCATTCAAGGGCAATAGTCAGGATGGTGCATGCACGGGTTGGACTAGCTCAATCTGGGCTCAGGACCTGAGCATAACAGAAAAGAAGGCAGGTCAGACCACCATAGTCAAGGTCTTAGGAAGTTTCTTCTGTCTCCAGGGGCAGGTAATGTTATTGCTCTACATAAACCAAAGCTTTTCTGAATAATGTACAATGAAGAGTAAACCATCAATCCAAACCTGCAGGAATGCTGCTGTGCAGGCTAAAGATATTGAGCCTGTATAGCAAACTCCTAGGAAATGAAGAGCAGAAAAATGCAGTTCCAAGTACAACAGGCTTAAAATAATTTGCCCTCTCCCTGAGTTTTTATACACCTCAGTTCCATAGCCTTAAAAAGGAAAGCACACAATCCAAACGACTCTTCTCCCAAAACCAAATCTTCATGGAGTTCCCTAGAGAAGACTCCCTCTAGGTGGGGCTTCTGGATCATACTATCCTCCAAGCTCCAAAACCAGCTCTGGCTTCCTGACATCTGTAAGGACAACAGGAATTCTAACTATTTAATAATAATTTTACAACTTGTTCAGATTTACTCAGTGTTTCCAAACTCAATGCTCCCCGAAAGCACTAACTGCACTGCTGACTTAAAAGCCTGAACCATATGCTTGAACTGCTCTGGGATTGCAGTAAATGTTCACTGCTTTGCTCATGTGGCATCCTGGCCTTGAACAGAACTGTCGTGGTTTAACCCCAACCAGCCACTAAGTACCACGCAGCCACTTGCTCACTCCCTGCTGGTGGGATGGTGAGGAGAACTGGAAAAGGGTAAAGCCTGTGGGTTGCAATAAAAACAGTTTTAATAATTGAGATAAAGTAAAATATAATACTAATACTACTCATAATGAGATAACAAAAAGAGACAGGAATTAAATCCAAAGAAAACCACATGATGCACAATACTATTGCTCATCGTCTGATGAAGGATCTTCAGCCCATAATAAGCAGTGATCGGTCCCTCCTGCCCAACTCCCACCAGTTGCTACACTAGGCATGACATGCTGTGGTATGGAATATCCCTTTGGCTAGTTTGGGCCAGCTGTCCTGGCTATGCTCCCTCCCAGCTTCTTATGCACCTCCTTACTGGCAGAGCATGAGAGATTGAAAAGTCCTTGATTTAGAGTAAGCACAATTTTGCAACACTGGCATGTTATCAACATTATTCTCATACAAAATCCGAACCACAACACTACTAGCTACTAGGAAGAAAATTAACTATCCCAGCTGAAACCAGGACAAGACTAAACAGACAAACCAGGAGCACTGAACTCAGCCCAGTGAAATACAGAGCCATATGGACTGCCTGAAACTATTTTATCTACTGTTTGTCCACACACACATACTACACATCACATATTGTTTGTTACTTGTAGAGCAGAGAAACAGGGTAGAAGTAAACAAACATAATGTCTACAGAAGCAAATGTGAGGTTTCATAGAGCGTAGCAGTTACTCCTGCAAGGAAGTTGGACATTTGGATACCTCAAAAACCTCAGTGGAAGAGCTCTGTTGGAGTCAATCCATCTTGCTCAGTTACCCTTTGGGTGAAGGTGACTGTTTTTAGAGCAAACAACCCAGCACCTGGTACAGGCATTCCGATAACCTCAGAGCCCAGTGCACTGAGACAGCCAGCACAATTTCATTTTAAACAGTGTTCTCTCTTCCTCTCACAATAGTGCATTTTCCCAACTCAGAGGTGATCAAAATTTCTCTGATGAAGGCCACAATCCTGTGCTTGTCTGTCTGCTCTCAAGGGACTCCCAGCAGGCAGGCACAAGAGCACACAGCCCACCGACAGACCCTGCTGGGTTCTTCCTTGGCTGCAGCAGCATTGCTTCTGCAGTTCTCTACCACAGGCCAAATAACTGGCACAGAGAAAAGCAGCAAAGTGCACCCAGAAGTGACTAGTATTATTTTGCTTCCCTGAAGCATCCAGGGAAGAAGTCTGCTTCTGTGGTTAAGAACAAAGAAATGGCATCTATTTTATTCAGATGAATTAATTTGTACTTTAGCCTGTGACTTGATTATTCCAGGACTAATCAGACAGGAGCTAAGAAATTGGCCTTGCACAGACACATCAGAATGCCAGAATCTATCTGAGGCTGTATCTAATCTTACGACAGACATAGCTGACATGATGGATTCCACTACATGTTACACACAAACTGTTTGGAAGAACAAGAAATACTTACCTGAGGCCATACCACTGCATGGAAAATGGCATTGATCTCTTCCATACTAAAGCTGTAAGTCTCATGATCAGAAAAAAACTCCACCACAAGCTTGAGCCCAAGACGTCTCAAATTCTTCAGTGGATTAATCAACCTAGGTTGGACCTGTAAAAAACAAAACCAACCAACCAAACAAAAAACCAGTAAGATCTTTGCAGAACAACTATTAAGTACTTGCTCTGCAATTAAATACACCGATAAATTGACCACAGACAAAACTTTTGCTGGAACAATGTTCTGTCTTCTACTGTAACTTGTTCATGGTAGTAATCTACCTCTCACAGAACTAAATTTTAGAAACTGTCGTGGTTCAAGCCCAGCCGG